TGTAAATAAGTACAGTGCTCTGTAAGAAGTTATGGAACAGAGGTATTAGTGTATATAACATGAAAGGGAAGAGAGTGTAACTAATGGGCCTAGAAATAAGGAACAATAGATTTATAGCTTCCACAAGCACCCCAGATGAATACAGAAGGCTTATATGTGAAATAGCAAAAGAAAAGAATACAACTATATAAATGAGCACACATACAGAAAAGAATCTACAAATTTGAGAAAAATGAGATTTCTAAAACGTAAAGTTAAATGGTTGAAACCTGAAGCAGTATGATCAGAATTACAGAAGAAAGGGATGTTTAGCAACATTCTGACCTCCATCCACTAGATGCCAGTGGCAACTACTCCTCCCCTCAGCTGTGAAAATCGATAGTGTCTCTGAACATTGACAAGTGCGTCTGGGGGACACAATCACCAAGGTTGAGAGCCACTGCCATAAAGAACATATGAGAAACAAAAAGTACTGGCCTATTTCACTCATAGTTGTGGATACAACATCCTAAACAAAATAATAGAGAATTGACTTTAATAGCAAATAAAATGATGATACCAGTCAGATTATTTTCTGAAATGCAATTATAGTTGCATATTTGAAAATCTATAAAAATAATCACTCACGCTAGCAAATGAAAGAAGAAATTTACATCCTTTCAATAGAAAAACATATATACATATACATACGAATATGCACATATATAGATCTATATATAGATCTATGTTTATATATATGTGCGTGTGTGTGTGTGTATGCGTGTGTGTATGAACCAGTAGTTTCCAATGTTTTTGGCACCGGGGACCGGTTTTGTGGAAGACAATTTTTCCACAGACCGGGGTAAGGGGGATGGTTTTAGGATGATTTAGGTGCATTACATTTACTGTGCACTTTATTTCTATTATTATTACATTGTGATAAGTAATGATTATACAACTCAACATAATGTAGAATCAGTGGGAGCCCTGAGCTTGTTTTCCTGCAACTAGACAGTCCCATCTCGGGGTGATGGGAGACAGTGACAGATTATCAAGCATTGGTTCTTGTAAGGAACACACAGTCTAGTTCCCTTGCATGTGCAGTTCACAGTAGAGTTTGCATTTCTATGAGACCTAATACCATGGCTGATCTGACAGGAAGTGGAGCTCAGGTGGTGATGTGAGTGATGGGGAGGAACTGTAAACACAGATGAAGCTTTGCTCACTCACCCGCCACTCACCTCCTGCTGTGTGGCCCAGTTCCTAACTGACCATGGAGCAGCTCTGGTCTGTGGCCCAAGGTTTGGGGATCCTTGACACACACTATGTGCACATTTGAATATCCCCCACAGCATCCAGTGGAAGGCATTTTTTCCCTTCGTTTGTTTATTTAATCTATATCTTGTAAGAATCAATCTGCATGTGAATCAGAAAACATTCTTTAGATTCAGTGCTATGCCTGAAAGAAGGGGATACCAGTGAAATTTAGCTAATCAAGAGCCTTCAAGTTTGTACCTCTTTAGAGGAAAAGTTAAAGAGTAAGATTAACTAACAAGATTGTTTATAAATGTTTAAATTCCATCCACTTAAGGGCAGACTCTAGATTTATTATTTATTTGTTATTTATTATTTTAGAGACAGGGCCTCACTCTGTTGTCCAGGCTGAGTGCAGTGGTGTGATCACAGCTCACTGAAGCCTTGAACTCCTGGACTCAAGTGATTCACCTGCCTCGACCTCCCAAAGTGCTGGGATTATAGGTGTGAGCCACCATGCCCAGCCTAGATTTATTTAAATAGTACAACAAATGCCCATTAAAATGCTGGTCTCTATATTTTAAAAGGCAATTCAAATAAGTTAAATTCAATTTATATTAATGTAAAGTAAAAGCATTTTTAAATGACTATTTAATTCAATGCTGTAGCATTCAACTAAATGGCCTTTGAAACCAACTGACCTCTACTGTTACCAGCCAGTAAATAAACATGAATGACTCATTACTACACTCACATGAATGTTCATTTGCAATGGCTTTAGAATGCACTGGATATCAAAATGATCTCTATTATATTTTATTTAATCATGTACATTAATAAACCTGAGATGACTGTATGTTCAACAATCAAGCAAGCTGAATCTCTAGCAGTACTACCTCTAGCAAATAGCCATTTAAGGAAATGAAAAGAAAAAATGATTCTAACATCAATGAGACTGAGAGAACAGGTTCTTTGCAGGTGAGCTGCTCTACTCCATACCACCATCCCCAGTCCTGGGCAAGTAGGAAGTCAATGTTACCTCATTATATCACACACTGGATTCCTGATTATCATACTCTTGATTCTAAATCTATTGTTCCTTATTTCTAGGCCCATTAGTTACACTCTCTTCCCTTTCATGTTATATACACTAATACCTCTGTTCCATAACTTCTTACAGAGCACTGTACTTATTTACACATTTGTACTGTCAATTAGATTGGGGATATTTTCTGGGAAAGAATCATGTCTTATCATACGAACACTGATCTTAATTGTATTCAGTTTGTACAAATGGACTCAGCAAAATGAAACCATGGAAATCATTTCTCTAAATACCTTGTCACTTATATGAGTGACCATGAGTAACTAACTTCAGTTAAAATAGGAGATAAATGAAAGTAAATGAACTAGTGGGTGCAAAGTCTAACATGCTTTGTTAGCCTAATAGCTATTATAAAAATAATTATTATACCTAACAATGGCAAATTGCTGTGATAGGTACTTCAAATATATATATAATAATGACAGTGATGATACAGCAATAATAATACTTAGTCAAAGAGAAATACATAGCTTGTTGCCTGTCAGGTGAAGGGAGGGCTCATGGCAAACACTATTCCCATAGTACAGACCATGTTGTCTTCAGTGGTCATCATCCCACTTTTACCTTGAACACGATGCAGTCCTTAACCCTTCTTCTGAGATTGAGTCAGTACCGGGATCACCATTGCCAAATAATTTCATCCAGAAATAGAGATTATTGCACTTGAATGAAAAAAAAAGAGCCTGGGTGAAATTAGAGTTTGCCTTTGTGAATTTACACTTTTCTAGACAGAGGATGCTTCTTGGGATGAACCCTGTCCCAGGAAGGTCCAGACATAGTTGCCTTTAAACATCTTCTGCCAGGTAGCGTGATGCCTCCAGCTTTGTTCTTTTGACTTAGGATTGTCTTGGAGATGCGGGCTCTTTTTTGGTTCCATATGAACTTTAAAGCAGTTTTTTCCAATTCTGTGAAGAAACTCATTGGTAGCTTGATGGGGATGGCATTGAATCTATAAATTACCTTGGGCAGTATGGCCATTTTCATGATATTGATTCTTCCTATCCATGAGCATGGTATGTTCTTCCATTTGTTTGTGTCCTCTTTTATTTCACTGAGCAGTGGTTTGTAGTTCTCCTTGAAGAGGTCCTTTACATCCCTTATAAGTTGGATTCCTAGGTATTTTATTCTCTTTGAAGCAATTGTGAATGGAAGTTCATTCATGATTTGGCTCTCTGTTTGTCTGTTACTGATGTATAAGAATGTTTGTGATTTTTGCACATTAATTTTGTATCCTGAGATTTTGACTTCAAACTATACTACAAGGCTACAGTAACCAAAACAGCATGGTACTGGTACCAAAACAGAGATATAGACCAATGGAACAGAACAGAGTCCTCAGAAATAATACCACACATCTACAGCCATCTGATCTTTGACAAACCTGAGAGAAACAAGAAATGGGGAAAGGATTCCCTATTTAATAAATGGTGCTGGGAAAATTGGCTAGCCATAAGTAGAAAGCTGAAACTGGATCCTATCCTTACTCCTTATATGAAAATTAATTCAAGATGGATTAGAGACTTAAATGTTAGACCTAATACCATAAAAATCCTAGAGGAAAACCTAGGTAGTACCATTCAGGACATAGGCATGGGCAAAGACTTCATGTGTAAAACACCAAAAGCAACGGCAACAAAAGCCAAATTGACAAATGGGATCTAATTAAACTAAAGAGCTTCTGCACAGCAAAAGAAACTACCATCAGAGTGAACAGGCAACCTAAAGAATGGGAGAAAATTTTTGCAATCTAGTCATCTGACAAAGGGCTAATATCCAGAACCTACAAAGAACTCAAGCAAATTTACAAGAAAAAAAACACACAACCCCATCAAAAAGTGGGCAAAGGATATGAACAGACATTTCTCAAAAGAAGACATTCATACAGCCAACAGACACAAGAAAAATGCTCATCATCACTGGCCATCAGAGAAATGCAAATCAAAACCACAATGAGATACCATCTCACACCAGTTAGAATGGCAATCATTAAAAAGTCAGGAAACAACAGGTGCTGGAGAGGATGTGGAGAAATAGGAACACTTTTACACTGTTGGTGGGACTGTAAACTAGTTCAACCATTATGGAAAACAGTATGGCGATTCCTCAAGGATCTAGAACTAGATGTACCATATGACCCAGCCATCCCATTACTGGGTATATACCCAAAGGATTATAAATCATGCTGCTATAAAGACACATGCACACGTATGTTTATTGCGGCACTATTCACAATAGCAAAGTCTTGGAATCAACCCAAATGTCCATCAGTGACAGACTGGATTAAGAAAATGTGGCACATATACACCATGGAATACTATGCAGCCATAAAAAAGGATGAGTTTGTGTCCTTTGTAGAGACATGGATGCAGCTGGAAACCATCATTCTTAGCAAACTATCACAAGAACAGAAAACCAAACACCGCATGTTCTCACTCATAGGTTGGAACTGAATAATGAGATCACCTGGACTCGGGAAGGGGAACATCACATACCGGGGCCTATTATGGGGAGGGGGGAGTGGGAAGGGATGGCATTGGGAGTTATAACTGATGTAAATGATAAGTTGATGGGTACTGACGAGTTGATGGGTGCAGCACACCAACATGGCACAAGTATACATATGTAACAAACCTGCACGTTATGCACATGTACTCTAGAACTTAAAGTATAATAATAATAAAAAGAAAAACAAACAAATAAACAAACAAACAAAAAACATCTTCTGCCTCTCCAGCCCTTCCTATTGCTGCCTGCACAAGCCCTGCTGGGAGGGAATGATAAAGTGAAACTGACACATTTTCCAACCTATTCACACCTACAATTTTGTCTTGCCTTTGGTAGTCTCAATGAAACCTACAGCCCTAACCTTAGGTGTCTTCAGTGGGGATATTTTTTGTTTGTTTTGTTTTCTCTTACCAACTTATTCCTATATGCCCCATCAGGAACTAACTTTGTTAAGAGAAAAAAAAGAATGTAATTTTTTAAGATCAATGATAGAACATTAGAATAAATGCCTTTCAACTGTCATCTTAAAACAAACAAAGATGCCTGACTATATAAAATTTTCAGGCATTTTAGTAATATGGCCAGATAGAAAAAATTCAGAAAGGACAGTTATAAGGCATGGTAATAGTGATTCTTTTAATCTATTATGTTCCCTTTCAGAAATTAAGAGAAGGAAGCAATCTCTGTCCCCTATTACATTCCCAATATAGGCAGCAACTAAGTTCATAAATGAGAGTACCACTTATAGTTATCATTTGAGCACCACCCTTTATGCTAAGTGCTTTAGATGCATTATCTTATTTAATTCTCACAGCAACTTTTGTGGTTTAGACACCACCATTATTCTAAATATTACCAATGAAGGAAGAGTCTTAGCAAAATAAAATAACTTGCCCATGTTAACACAACTCATAAGTGACAGAGCTAGGTCTCAAACACACGTGTCTTTGAATCCAGTGCACTTACCCGCATGCTATAATGCCTTAAAACACCACTTTGTAAGGCTTGGGCTTATGTTTCAATCTTTGCTTCTAATCAGTGAGCTCCTTCAGGACATAATTTATTTCTCATTAATTTTTATATCTCCAGAGCATGGAATAATGCCTGATACAGAGCAGGAACTCAATGATTGTCAAATGAATAAAATGCTGAATTAATAAATAAATAAAGGAAAGAATTAATTTTAAAAGGAAACAGAAAATTGAGGTGTGCAAAAAGCTAATTCTATACCAAGAATATTATTCCTGTGGTTAGTTTTGTGCCCCTCCATTTGCATTGTAGCAACATATGAGTATTTTATAAGTATCATTTTTACTTCAGAATTAAATGAAATGCTTTAAAAAATACGTACTTTACTCAGGGATTTAAATGAATGATTGAAATTCCATAATCAGAACGTGACACAACCAAACCAGCGTATAATCATATGTTTCCCATCATAAGCTACTTGAAATGTTCTTAGGGTTACAATATTGTAATCTAGACATGAGAGGAAGATCTGTGCTCTCGACAACATTCAACACAGGCACTTCAACTGGCTCTGGATAAAAGACAAACCTCCTCTTTTGCATTACATAGATGTTCTCTCTTTTCTTATCAGTAAGCAGACAGTCTTAACTGTTACCTTCACATCCTTTGCCATCTTCCTCCAGCTTCTGGTCAGCTTGACATTTGCAGTAATAGCTGCCAACTGTATTACAGCATCGATCTTGACAGCCACCATTGTCAATGGTACATTCATTTACATCTGCAAGTGAATAGTGAAACAGAATTAGCCTCCTGTAACTAGACATACAAAAAGAAACTTTGGTGGCTCTCTGTTAAAAATGAACCATCACAGAATGACATCATTATTTAACCTTGGATTAAATGAAATAAAACAATATTTCATTTTAATTAGAATGAATACACTCTAATTTTGATGTGAAGAAAGAGACAAGTCATAATTTTGGCATCTGAAATACTACTTTTGAACAATAAACTAAGGTATTTTCTAGTCTTATGGATTTGGGAAGCTTATGGTACAGACCCAGAAATTTCACACACAATCTTTTGAGGATGAAATTGAGAACAATGAGAGAAACTAAACTAAGGTCAGGACACTAGGCCACCTGCTTACCTATTAAATATGTTGTTGTTATTGGCTTCTCAAATAATTATTGCTCACCACTATATATATGCCATTGTAGTGGACAGTGTGAGAAAGGTAAAAGGGTATTTCCATGGTTTCCAAAGTTTAAAATGTAGCTGGAGTTGAGGACTAAACAGAAATGTGATTTGGTTGAGTCCATATACAGGATATGCCCACAGACCACTCCTAAACCCGTGGCCATAAGTCATCTTTACAGACAGGGTTCAATTTTATGTATTTATCCAATCCAGTTAACAATTGGCAAGTATTCCAATCCATCTTCAAGTTTGATAGTGGCCTGTGAGGTGGCTTGATTTACAGTTCTGCTCAAATGAGGTACCTCTTCTGCATGTTGACTAGTTGACTTGATAGGTCCTTGCCTCATGAGATGAGTGTGGCTTGAAAAGGGGATGGAGTGGACAAGGAGGAGGTATGGAGGGGCAGGGAAAAATGGGAGAAAGAGGAAGAGGGAGACAGAGGGAGACAGAGAGAGACAGGGAAAGGAGAGGAGAAGAGTTTGGCCAGGAACAGCAGAAGAAGTAAAGCAGAAGCATAGGCAAAGTCTCACCGAAGTGTGGATCTATCACAGCAGAAAACAATTGATATTGAGAGACCAATCAGGTAATAGGCAGAGTGAGCAACAATGCATCTTGACTGAATGTAACTGATTTTGTCTGATTCCCTTGCTATGCAACTTTTACTGTTTTGTTTAAGTTAACTTTTCATTCAAGTGTGTCTGGCTTCTCTCATTCAGCATTGTTTAGAAGATACATCTATTTTGTTGCATACACTTGTAGATCACACATTCTTATTCCTGTACGTTGTTCCCTTCTATGAATATACCACAATATTCATTTCACAGAAGATGAACATTGAACTGTTTTCTTATTTTTGGCTTTTGTGAAGAGTGCTGCTATGAACATTCTCATAGATGTCTTCAATGAGCTTACCACTGCATTTCTGTTGGGTAATACAGTTGACCCTTAAATAATACAGGTTTGAACTGTACAGGTCCACTTTATATGTGGATTTTTCTAAATACAGTCAGCCCTCTATATCAGCAGGTGCTGCATCCACAACCAAATGTGGAGTCAAAGCACAGTATTCACAGGATATGAAACCTGCATATGCGGAGGGCCTGCTTTTTATATACTCGAGTTCCACAGGGCCAGACACAGGACTTAAGTATCCACAGATTTTGGCATACACAGGTGTCCTGAAACCAACATACCCCTGCAGATACTGAGGAGCAGCTGTACATCTAAGATTAGACTTGCTGGGTCAAAAGGTTTGAGGTACTGTTTAGTATTTATAGATAAATGGTCTTCTTAAGAGGCTACTCTAATTTACACTCCCACCAGTGGAGTTCAGATGCTACTCATTCTTGCCAACATTTGGGATATGCTGGGTTTTTTTAATTGATCTATTCTGGAAGTTTAATAATAGCATCAGGTTATGATTCTAATTTGCATTTTCCCAGTGATTAATCAGGTTAAGAACATTCTCATGTTATTGGCCATTTGGATAACATCTTGTTGAAATGCTTGTTCAAATAGTTTTTCCATTTGTCCAATTTCTAAAATATTCATTATTGTACTTGTGGGTCCTCAAATAGGATGCTAAGAAAAAGTGGTGGCAATGGTTATCCTCTTCTTGTTTCAAATTTCAGGAGAGCTTTTAACAGTTCAAGGTAGGCATGATGGGTACTGTTGGGTAGATACAGATAGATATAGATAAATGTTCCTTTCTAATCCTAATTTCTTTCATATTTGATTCATAAATAGGTGTAAAGTTTTATCTACCACATTTTTTGAATCTATAAAGATAATTAGATGTTTTTTCTTATTCTGTTAACATGATAAATAACAAGATTGAATTTTGCATCTCTAAAATAAACCTGGTCATGATACACTACCTTTTTTTTTATACATGCCTGAGTTCACTTAGCTAATACTTCATTTGGAATTTTAAAGATATTTTTCATCAGACAGATTTGCCTGTACGTTTTCTTGTTGGTAAATAGTCTTCTTGAATTTGACACCCAGGTTGTACTAGATACATCAAAAAAAGTTAGAAGTGTTTCCTTCTTTTCTATTGCTGAAATAATCTGTGCAAGATTGGTGGTATAATTTATTAATTAAATGTTTGAAAGAGCTCATTTATGACACTACCTAAGGCCTGGGATTGTAGGGGGTGTGTGTGTGTGTGGGGGGGTGTGTGTGAAGGCTTTCAATTACAGATTCAATTTCTTTGATATAAGAATATTCAGACTTTTATTTAAATATGTGGGATAAACCATGTGTTTCAAGGAATTTGTCCCTTTCATATTAACGTTCAAATGTATTGCTGTTAAGTTGCTCATAATATTCTCATACTACTGTTTTAAATGACTGTCCAGTTGTGCTAAGGTCACCTTTCCTATTCCATGAAATTCCTGTGTGTCTTCTCTTTATTTTCTTATCAGCTTTGCTAGGAATTTTTCAGTTTTATCTATCTATCTATCTTGACTATCATCTATCTATTTCAGTCTTTTCCCCCCCCCCAAAAAAAATAAAAAATAAAAAATAAAATCTGTGGCTTTATTGATTTTTCAGCATTGCACATTTTCCCCACATAATCAATTTGTGCTATGATCTTTATCATTGCCTTTATTCTACTTTCTTGGGTTTCTTTCACTATTCTGCTTCTAAGTTCTTGAGACGGAAATTTAGATAATCGATTTTTAGTATTTCTTTAAAAAAATATTCCTGGTTATCTGTAAACATGTAACCAAACACCTTAACACTAAGTGGCTTAGAAAGACAACTTACTATTATTTTCTACGTGTCTGGGGATTCTCAGGTAATAATCAACTGGTTGGTGCTCATTTGGGGTCCCACAGAAGGTAGAAGTAAGGTGACAGCTAGCAGTAGACCTGTATGGAGGCTTGTCACTCCCATGTTGGGATTTGGGCTGAGATGGTCGGAACATCTGGGTGGCTAGTCAGGTGTCTCCCTGTCTCTCCATGCAGCTCCTCACATGCCAAACTCTTGCTTTTCTCCTGCTCGGTGTCCTCAGGGTGGAGATATTTTACATGGTGGCTTACCTCCCCCAGGGAGACTATTACAGTAGACTTAAACAAAAGTTGAAAGGTTTCTTATGATCTAGCCTTGGAAGCCACATAGCCTGACTTCTTAGATTTTTGTTAGTTAAAGCAGTCACAGGCCAGCAGAGATTCTGGAAGGGTGGGGAATTCCTTCTCGCAATCAGGGAATTGAATACACTGTGTCCAAACAAGGAAAAAATTGATGCCAGCCTTGTTGAAAGGACACATCACACTCATATTTTCGTTTTCCTAAAAATAAAAGTATTAGCTGCTCACCACAGGTTTTAATGTTTCATTTTAATTACCATCGACGCAAATTATTTCCTAATTTACATAAATATTTCCTCTTTGGATTATTTTGAAGCATGTTTTGGGATTTTTTTTAACACATTTGAGGAATTTTCAATCATCTTGTTATGAAATGCTAGACTAATTCCATGGTGAACAAAGAATATACTCTGCATGATTTCAATTCTTTACAATTTGTTAAGACTTGCCTTATATTCCAGCACATGGTCAATTCTGTTTTTTTTTTAAAATCTATATTTACTGGAAAATAATGTACACTCTTCAATGATCAGATGCTATGTTTTCTTTATGTACATATGTCCATGTATACAACATATACTTTCATATATTATACATGTATATTTCAAACATGTACAAATACAAATATTTAATTCATTTGATTCGTTAATCATGATTTTCATATCTTTATATATTTAAGAATTTTTTCATATGCTTGTTCTATCAGTTAGCAAGAGAAGCATAGTGAAATTGCTTTATTTAATTTCACATGTGCCCTTTTCTGACTGCAATTTTTGTTTCATATAATTTGAAGCTCTGTTATGAGGGGCATACAAATTTAGGATTACCACATCTTCCTAGATTAATGCTTTGTTATTATAAAATGTTCCTCTTTAAATCTAGCTATGCTTTTTTCATTAAAGTTGACTTTTTGTAATGTTATAGCTGTATCAATTTTCTTCTGGTTAGTTTCTTTCGGCTAATGACTTTACATGTCATTTCATTTTCTAAACTTTAGTTTTTCCCTTTTTCGTATTCATATATCTGAGAAATTATCTCTCTCTATATGAATATACCTGTATATACATTAATTTAATATATTATAAACATCTTTGACTTTTAGCTGTAGTATCATATCATTGACTTTTAATGTAATTGTTAATGTATTTGGATTAAATTTACCATTTTATTGTTTTTCTAAATTCCCCATAGATTTTGTGTTACTTTTATGTTCAACTCTTACTTTTCTCAAAATTTATTTTTGGTGGTCTATTTGCCTTTTTATTAGATCGTCGGTCATATATTCCTTGTTATTCTTTTAGTGGTAATTCTAGATATTAAAACATCTATTATTAAAGTCTAATATAAATTAGTACTTTAACCACTTTCCTATAATGCTAGAACCTTACCAGTTTAACTCTTTTAAAGTTTTTCTTACCTATTATATTATTGTTATTATGTATTTTACTTTTGTATATTTAAACCCCGTAAGACATCACAGTTATTATTTTATATATTCAGAAGTAATTTAGGTTTATTCACATAGTTACCTTTTCTGGCATTCTTTATTGCTTCCTTCATTTCTGTGCTTCTTTCTGGAATAATGTCCTTTGGCCGGAAAATTGCTCTTAGTATTTCTTTTCATATGGATCTGCTGGCAACATTTTTTTCATATTTAGTCAGGAAATAGCAATATAAAAAAAGGTGATTTTTTCACTTTAATTTTTAAATAAAATATATATACATAAAAGAACATTTTTTAGATTTAGAGAAAAATCTGAAAGAGTACAGGTTCACATGTACTCCATACATCCCATATTTCACTGTTTTAAAATCTTATATTAGTATAGTTATAACTATACTAATTACATAATTAAATATGTACTAGATAATATAATCTATCAATATTAGGTTATTAATTATAACTAATGTAACATATTGACTATGACAGTTTCTCAGACTTTCCTCATTTTTTATGACTTTGATGGTTTTGAGAAATACTGGGCAGGCATCCTATAAAATGTCTCTCAATTTGGATTTTTGTAGTGTTTTTCTTATTTTAAACTGGGATTGTGGGTTTTAGGGAAGAAGACTATAGAGGTAAAGTGTCTTTATTACCTCAACATGACTTAACACTATTGATGTTGACCTGGATCCCTGGCTGATGTAGCATTTGTCAGGTTTCTCCATTCTAGAGTAATAAAGTTACTCTATTTTTTGGAGCAAAGTTATTATGTACAGCCCACACACAGGAAGTGGAGAGTTATGTTCCCTGTTGAGGGCAGAGTATCTAAATAAATTATTTGGAACTCTTATGTAGAGATCTGCCTCTTCTCCATTTATAGTTACACCTGATGTTTTGAATAATATTTTCAATGGAATAGAATTCTAGAAGTTTTTAGAAAGCTTATTAGCTGTGTCATTCTATCATCACTTAAATTTCATTTTGAAAATAATTTGACTGTTTTTCTCTGTGTGCTTTTAAGATTTTCCCTTTGGTTGATTAATAAATACAACAGAACAGATTGGAAGAATAAGTTCTGGTACTCTATTGCACAGTAGGGTGACTATAGCTAACAATAAATGTATTGTATATTTGAAATGGCTATATGAGAGGATTTTGAATGTTCCAATAATTAAGAAATGATAAATGTTTAAGGTGATAGATATGCTAATTACCATGATTTACTATTACACAATGTATACATTTATCAAAACACCACATTGTATCTCATAAATATGTACAATTATGCTGTGTCAAAATTTTATTTTTGTTATTTTTCTTCATATATTTTACTACGATGTACCGTGATATGTTTTTCTTTGTAGTTTTCCTCCTTGTATTTGTAGTGCATTTTGATTTTGTAGTTAGATGTCCTTCAGTTTAAAGAAATTATTCTCACCAGTATCTATTCAAATATTGCTTTTGCCTCATTTTGATTGTCTTTTCTTTCTAGTACTTCCATACACAGGTTTATGATACCTATTTCTATACATCATTTGCCTTATGCTATTTTCTATTATATTTTATTATTTTTTGTTGTTAGCTTCAGTAGAGATAGCCTACTGACCTTTCAGGTCATCAATTCCATAATCAGTTGTTTGTAATATGCCATTAATCCCACCTATTACATTTGATATTAAAGGTATTTTCATTTCAACTATTTGCAGTTGATTCTTTTTACAAATTCTACTTCTCTGGTAAAAATTTCATCTTGTCATAACTTTTCTTGTTTTTATAATTCCACTCTTTATGATAAATACAGGAACTGAACCCTGTAAACATTTCTCCCTTGCCCGCTTCTTGTTGAGCCTTCTTAGCAGAGGGCTCTGGAGGAAAGCTGTAAGAGGAAGGAACCTCTCACTGTACTATCAATGTAATTTGTTTTTCAGGCTTGTACGTTGTGGCTGCCAGCTGACCACTTTCTTGTCAATGGGAAGCTTCTTCACCAGTAAGCAGCACTTCTGCCAGTGGTACATAAAAAACGTGGAGGTGAATACCATTCAGCAAGTTTTATCAGTCCTCCAGTAGGCAGCTTCCCAGTGAATTTCAGTGCCACCCCAGTGGATGTGTTCCTGACCATCATTCCTGAGCAGCAGCATTTCAGCAAACTTTCCTGCCATCCAGTGAGCCAGAGCCATTACCTTTCCAGTGAGATTTGGCTTTCAACCTGGCCAGGGAATTGAGAGGATGCTTCCAAGTTTGTTTCACTCTGGGGTACTCTCCTCCAGTCCTAGACATAGTGGCCAGTTTCTACATATGCTATTCCTATATTCTTCAACATTCTGCTTACCCCTTTTAGTACTTTATCTTTAGTTCCAATTCGTAATTCTTCGTAGTATTTTTTTCTCTGACCAAATCAATCTGTAGTTTCTGTCTCTTACGGATTCTGACTGGTATACCTTTTCTCCATTATCTTGATACTTCAGATTTTGGCTTCTGTTTAATTCTGAATTTCAATTTATGTCTCCCCAGTCTGGTGGGACTGCTGACTGTTCAACATACCTTTTCTTCCTACTAGCAGCCACTTTCTTCCCACCTTTTCAGCCTTTTCCACTGTGTCACTTATTAATCAATCCCTTCATAAGAAAGCTCACCTCATTGGCTTTCCTGGCTGACACAATATTCTCTAACATCTTCAAATGTGTGTTTTTTTTTATATTGCATTCAACATTTCTAGTTGTTGTCAGCAAGAGAATTGGTCTGCTACTACTTATCCCATCACAGCCAGAAAGAGAAGGCCTAGTCACACTATTTCTTGATCCTCTTTACTTTCCATTACAATATTCCAAAGAAAATTCCATTAACTTAGACTTTATGTGCTTGTTTATTTTTCTTACACCTGATTCCGTCAAGAAGCCAGGCATTCATGACTAATAAACGTGTAGTAATTAACAAAGAATATATGGCTTTATAATTAAGTCCTGTGCTTTGTATTGCAGAATATCATAGAGAGAAAGATCAGTAAAGGTTGATTTCTTAAGGGAAATTGGAGTATAAGTCTACATACAAGTTTAGATATAACTTTTTAAGCTTAGTTTGTTAAAGAAGGGGACAGATGTTGGAATAAGCCCAGTTTCAGGCATCCCATATTTCCACTCTTAAGAATTTATCCAAAGATATATCCCAAAGGAATTGAACTATGTTAGATACTTTCCATATATAATATCATGCAGGCCTCATAATGAACTGACAAAATCATATGAAGTTATTCAAAAGAGTATGGTCATTAAAAGGAAAGTGAGGAACACACACACACACACACACACGCATCAAGCAAAAACATTGGTAACAACTTACATGTTCACCAAAATGGAAATTTTGGTACATTAAGTAAGTTAAATGTATCACTTGAATGTACTTGAATGCAGTCATTAAAATTATAATTGTGATGACTTATGCAACAATATGAGAAACCATTTTCCTGAAATGGATTACGAATTGTTTCTGTGTTTTAGCTGCAACTACAAAAGCCATCTATTCTTATGGAGAAAATCTGAAAAGCTTTAAAAAATAAATAATTTGATCTATAACAATGGTAGAGTTATGTCGTTTAAAGTTTTCATTTTTGTCATTATAATATTGCTTGTGTCATCATTATCTAAAAAAATAGGTCTTAGATTTCTGATAGATAATTAAAGAAAAGAATAAAACAAGAGGTTATATAATTTTCAGTGACTGTTAAAAAGGAAATATTTTTCAGGAGGGACAGACTTTATGGACATTAAATTCTTATGGGAATATCTTACATGAGTTTTGAATATAAGCGTCATTGAATAAAACAATGGCAAAGTCTCCAAAAGAGGTTTTTCAAAAAATGCCAAATTTTTCCTTTTTTTTTTTTTTAAACTATTAGTGACCTTTACTAAAACATAAGACCTAATGTAACAACATATTATGGCAAAATTACTTTAATGGAAAGCTAGGTTAATATAGCACAGTCAAATTGCTTCTGGCTGGATTTACCTGAAATAAATACAGGAATTTTAAAGCAAAAGTAATGTCGGGTTTTCATAGCCCTGAAAAGGACTTCAGAAAGTAATTTATACTTTTGGAGCAAATACATGTTTACTACGTCCACCAGTTTTTTCCACAACTTATTCCTTCTTACTGAGCAATCTGACTCATTTATTTGACTGGATCTGACTTTTACTCTTCTGAGCTGATTGTGCTTCATATCCTTAAGGATTCAAAGAGCTGTCTCAGGGAATGCCTAGACAGAGACAGAGTGCAGTATGAGACAGAGGAAGCACCTTAGCATATAACCAATTCAGTAAGTGAAAAGCTGCTTTAATCTGTTTTACATATTGGATAGTTCTCAATTTAGAATTTGTTTGAATAAAGTGGTCAGTTTGATTGATGACAATGTTTGAAAATTTCTTCCTTAGGCTGTCATATCTGGTATGGGACAGTTGAAAGCAAAGCCTTTTACTCATAAATAATGTGAACAACTATATCTCTGTGAGATAATATTAGAGAAAATTATCAATAAAGATACATGAAAATAATGAATATCATGTATATGTGTCTCTTTCCACATGTTTATTTACTTTAAACCTAAAAATTATGCACATTATTAACAAATGTCAAATATCAAATTAAATTTGGTCACTATCAAATCAAACTGGTAAGATCAGACAATGGCAGATGTTAAGAAATAAAAGACAATTAGTGGTTTTGTTGGTCAAAATAATTAGTAAATAAAAATAACATTAGAAAGGACTTAAAATATCCTTTCTGCTTAGATGGAATTTTAGTAAAACATAAAATAGCTATGGATATTTTAAAAATTTATTTTATATTTTTGGAGCTAAAATAACACCAGGGTTAAAAAGCATGTATGGAAAGGCTGATAAACATCCCATGTAAACTTCAGAGTCTACTATTCAGAGTGACCAAAACTCAAAGATAAATAAGAAATGAAGAAAACAATATTGACACACATAAGGTGAAGGGTACATATCATATACACACACACACACACACACACATATATCTATATATATAAGATTTATATTAACTATATGTATATTAGGAAAAGGTAAACATTCACAAACAGAAATTGAGTCTAATAAAAGGAAATAAATTGATTTAAAAAGTCAGAAATAAAAATATCCAAAAGATGTCAAATCCTGTTGAATCTTATTGGC